CTATCATGTTGTCCTCTGCTCAGTTTTCAAAAATTAATTTGATAAACACACGCAGTGACATGATCTTTCTGATGTTTGGCGGCATTTCATCTTCAAGTCCACCAAGCCTACCCCTCTCTCTCACTTACAAACCTTTCAGGCAAAGCATAAAAATATTATAAATGCAAGCTATAGCCTGCCACACTCACACTCTTAATGTAGCTCCTCTGCTCTCTGAATGAATAAAAGATAAAGATTGGGAAATGCTGAAAACTGGATTGGTTGGAGGCATTTTGGGACCACCCTTTCTCTACGGTATATTGCTCTGTCCTGAAGGCCTGCTGAATGTTGGGAGGGAGGGTTAATAGAGGGGTGCTCCATCCCAATGCCCTCCCTCAGGTTTTTCTGTGTATGAAGGAAAGAACTGATATGGGGGGAATTGTTCCCACCGCAGCAAACGGGTGAGACCTAGCAACACATCATACAGCGATTGTTCAATGGATGCATGCATGCTGAGGCTTGTAGCTGCCTGGCCTTCAGAGGAAGACTGAAATGGAGTCCAGAGAGATTGAGAGAGTAATTTGGTGAAGGCCAGGTGGGGGCAAAGAGTGGAGCTCAGGTGGGGGCAATCATCATAATCTAAAGTGAAATCCCCCTTGAGAGACAGATTAATGAGTATGTGTTGCGGGGAGAATAAGAGAGACTGGGTTCTTCTGGCTTTAAGAGTTCTGGAATTATTGGGAGAGCAATGCTCCACTTGTGCAAACACACCGTCATCCCTAACACTCTAAACCAGAAGAACAAAGCAGAAGCAGAGCTTAGAATTTGACTGGGGTTTGGAGTCTTGCTCTGAAAATGAACAAGCCAAGATTGTTCCACTTCTCTGGATAGGCAAGCAAATGCCGTGACCTAAATTTACCACCCCACCATAAACAGTGGTACCTCGGGTTAAGAACTTAATTCATTCTGGAGGTCTGTTCTTAACCTGAAATTGTTCTTAACCTGAGGTACCACTTTAGCTAATGGGGCCTCCCACTGCTGCCACGCTGCCGCTGCCCAATCTCTGTTCTCATCCTGAAGCAAAGTTCTTAACCTGCGGTACTATTTCTGGGTTAGAGGAGTCGGTAACCTGAAGCGTCTGTAACCTGAAGCATCTGTAACCCGAGGTACCACTGTATATCAATGTCTATAAACATTTTGAATAAATCTGCATAGTTTAGCCACTTATTTGTAGTTCAGTCAACAGCTAAAAGTGGTTACCATGGATGCAGTTCACAGTTGTACCCACGCATCAGTGCTGAGAAACTGAACAAGTAGGTGGCTACAGGATATGTGAACCCTGATAGCGCAAAGGGGCTGGATTTTTTTTTGCAGCAATAAGTTCTACTGCACCCATAAATCATAGGTTAGAATAAATTATCTTAATATTTATGCTCTCTCCAGGTTACATAAGTTTCCCAGTAATGAAAAGCAGCGTAATAGCAAATGCCACACAGACGTTCTACCATGGCAGGTATCATTGCTTAGTCATTTTGTGTTTATAAAGCACCTACAATAAGCTGTATATAATAACTAGGTAAAATGGTAACCAAGGCCTTGCCTACCTATTTATCATAAAAATGTTCAGAAGACAGCACCAAATGATGCTTTCTGTTTTTTAACATGAAACAAAAGCTTCAACTATTTTAACTGGTCTTAGACCCCACATACAGTATATGGAAACCTAATACATACTCATCTGTACTGTAATCCAAACCAAGGCTACTAACATATCTAAAAAGCATGCCTAACAGAAATGTTACACAGCCTCTAGACTGTGTTCAGAGCATTTCCCTGGGTTATCCATTCCAATTAATAATAATAATAATAATAATTTATTTGTCCCCCGTCCATCTGGGTTGCTCCAGCCACTCTGGGAGGCTTCCAAAGTATATCAAAACATAATAAAACATTTAAAAGCCTCCCTGTACATAATAATAACAATAATTTATTATTATGAGCAGATGACCACCTTGAAAGGAGGCTCCCACTGCAGTCCCCTAACATTTTCTCGATCTGCATGTGGGTTGGTAGCTGTTCAAGGTACAGTTGAGTTTACATTTGCAAGGTCTGTGCCATAAACAGCTTTATAAAAACAAACACAGTCACTTTGAACTGGTCCCAGAAGTTAATAAGGAACCAATGTAATGCTGCAACACTGGTAGGACCAATTTCCTCTTCCCAGTATCAGTTAGGTAGGGAAGGATGCAGCATTTTGCACCAGATGTTTCAAACCAGGCACAGGCAAACTCAGCCCTCCAGATGTTTTGGGACTACAACTTCCATCATCCCCAGCTAACAGGGCTAGTGGTCAGGGATAATGGGAATCCCAAAACCTCTGGAGGGCTGAGTTTGCCTATACCTGTTCCAAACCATTTTCAATAGTAACTCCACATTAACAACAACGTAGCAGTCAATCCTATAAATTGCACAATGAATAAATGACTATTGCAAACAAAGTGTTACAAAGATTCATGATTCAGTACAAAGAAACCTCTACGTGGCACATACCCTGCGCACATACCCCAACACCTCTGTCACCACTGGATTCACTTTCACTATCCCCTCAAAAATAGCTACCAGGCATTAGTTTAGAACTGGCACCACTATTCTAACTTGTAGTTTAAAAATGACAAATTGAACTTAAGTGAGTTATTGAATGATCCTGTATTCTAAATCCCTAGTGCCTCCAAATAGATAGTGAATAACAAAATCACCTTTCTGAAATGTGCTGGATTCTATTAAAGACAACTCCCTAGTGCCTAAAGATATAACTGCTACCTCTCTCTTTCAGGAAACTGACTGCTAATGTAAGTGTAAAAATCTGTCATTTTCAGCTACCAGGTGTATACTGCAGGCAGAAGTTTGGAAGTTTGCAAATCACATGGGAAGAACACCCTTATTGCACAAGTAGAGCAGGTAAGTCTAAGCGACATCAATCCCATAAATCAGCCAGGGCTGCAGTAATTTATGAGCCTAACATGTTTGATTAATCAACACTAGTACCACACACTGCTAAAAGAATTTAGTCACATTCCAGTACAGTGGTACCTTGGTTTGCAACCACTTTGGTTTACAACCATTTTCTATTACAACCACGTCAAACCCGGAAGTGTGTGTCCCTTTTTTTGGATTACAACCAATTTTTAGGGGGGAGGCCCCATTGCCGAAAACGCGCCTTGGGTTACAACCTCTTTTGGTTTACAACCAGACCTCCAGAACGGATTATGGTTGTAAACCAAGGTACCACTGTAATATTTTTGCTTGTGTCTGTGAAATTTGCTCTATTTCTGAATCATGCAGCCTTCAGTTTTAGTAACAATTTAAAAAAATCTTTTCTACAGCTTTCTAACAGGAAGAAGCAACATACAATACAGACAGTGACCATTTTAGGAGCGTCCAATGTTTGTAGCTGCTCACACGCACATTGCATCAAACCCGGAAGTGACCCAAAAAATTACAAAAAGAGGTGGAACAGGTTGGGACGTTTGCAGGCTTTTTCAATGGTGTTTCAAATATACACAATGTGTGGTGCCTTGGAATGAAACCCTGCATAAATTGGGAGTTTCCTGTAGATGCAGAGTGACGGGTCACCCACAGTAGTGGAGATCGAAACATCTTCTGGTAATATACTTCATATACCACATATAAGATTCACTCAGGTTCTAACAAGGAATTAAACAAACTTGCTGCTCCCCCCCCCCCAAAATAAACAAGTTGTATTTTATAAAGAATGTAGTGCAGAAGCATATGCAGGCATTCCATCTGCACTACAATAAGACAGCCAAACTTTAAGCAAGACTTGAAAGATTGATTTAACAAGACCTAGTTTCAAGTAACTATGTTTAAGATTACCTCTGGTTTTCAGCTGCATATTTTTAACAAACACAGAGATACACTAGTATAATTTTAGCACACATCTCGGCATCCTTGCACACCATATGAATCTTGCACACATGGTACAATAGTATCAACTGGACAAACACCAAATAAACTATTTTTTAAAAAATTACAAGCTAATACAATCCTAACAGCAAATGATTTTTCTTCATACAAACAATCCTCTTTCAGCCCCAAAACTAGTAAACTGCAGAAACAAGGCATATTAAGAAGCACAGCAACAGATCAGCATTAGTTTAGATCTCTACATAGAGGGTAATAACAATAAACTGATGCATTTTGTCTATGGAATCATCAAGGCTTAGAGGGGGGAAAACAATATGCTCAACAGGCCCATAGCCGAAAGAAAGCAGAAAAACTTCCAAGTTCCTTTAATGGAGTCACATCCTTACTCTTCCTAAATTGTTTAGCTTGGCTTCCTACACAGAGGAGCAAAAGGCTGCATGCTCCAGATCTGAAGTATTCAACACCTACAGAGCATTTCAAAATTGCCAGAAACTTGACTCATAAACACTATGTGTGACCCCCAACAGGTTTAAAGAAAAAAAGACAAACCATGTTTTCCACACCATGTGCAGCTAGCCAGTGGAAGTGTGTTTCACGGGATTTGTGCGTCACAACCCTGTATCAGAAATATCCTTTTAAAAAACCAAACATACGATTTCCTAATCTTTGGCAGGATTATTTCGTATAGTGCCCCTTAATTTACCAATACCACCCCAATACGACCAAATCTTGTAGACAAAACCTGAGCTAGACAGACCATTGGCCTGAACCCCTAATAGCAATTTGGTCTCCTTTGACGGTAGGAAGCATCATAGCAGCAGCACCATTGTCTTCTCCAAAGGCAGGGCAAAACCTGGAAGCTACGAAACTAGGAGGCTCTCTCTCACACACACACACGCGCGCGCACTTTTTGATCAAATACCCCTTAAGGAGCCAGTCCTTCGTGGTGAGCAGCCGCTCAGCATTTTGCTAGAGTACATCGAGTTAGGGCAAATACAATCATCACCATTATTATTATTCTGAAAACAGGTTGCAGCGGAAAAGCAACACAGAGACACAAAGAACCCTGGAAACACCTGCGCAAAAGCTCCTGCATGGCTGAAAAGGCTCCGTTCTTCAGCATGGAGGGAGAAAGGCGAAACTCTGCTCCAGGCATCCCACCCCCCCAAAAACGGGGCACACGCAGCCTCCACTTTGGGCAACCACAGCATACGCGCTTCACGCCAGGCGCGCCAAGTGTTATGAGGGAAGCGAGGCCTGGGCAAGTCAGAACATGCCTGAGCCGAGGGAGCGCCCCCCTCCCCAAATCCCCTCTTCCTCTCGCCCTGCCTGGCAACGACAGGCCCCGCCGACTGCCGTTAATGGCACAGAGAGACGCCCCCCCCCCGCGCCGCCCTCCTCGGAGGTAAAGCAGCAGCCGGAGGCGCCTCTGCGCTGAGGGAAAAGTCAACGCCGCAAACGAGCGCTCTATAACGCCGGTCCCCGCCCTGACCTCCTACCGTCCTGAGGAAAGGCCGCTTCTCCCGGGGTGGGGGTGGGGGTAGGGGGGGCGCGGGAGGGGGCGCGTACCCCGAGCCACTGCCCCCTCCTTCGTCGAAGCACTCTCAGGAGGGGGGGGGAGAGCGGGACACCCCGGAAGCTCTTGCTGCGGGCTCACGCCCTACGCCCAGCCGGCGCCCTATCGGAGGGAAGCCAGCCGGCCCGAGGCGCCGTCACCAAAACTACTTCCGGGTCGCGGGCTCCGCGGACGCGCCTTAGCAACCGCGTTCGGTTACCAAGCGGAAGCTGGAGGGGATTTTGTGGCGAGAGGGGGATCACGTGACTCAGAGAGGGAGGAGTCGTCACCGCCGCCGAGCAGCCGCTGATTGTGTGGATGTGGAGGAGCTAGACAAGTGGATTAAAAGGAACCGGAGGGGTGAAGGCGACGCCTTCGTTCCAGAGAAGTAGCCGAGTTAATGTTTCCAACAAATGGGTTGGGTGGGGAGCTGGAAGCAGAACTGCTATGTCTACTCTTGTGCAAGACCCATTCAGTTCAGGTCCCTGGCCTGCTCCTGGGAAAGTAGGCGGAGGGTTGCAGCCTGGAATAATAAATAATAATAATAAATAATAAATAATTTTATTTATACCCCGCCCTCCCCAGCCAAGGCCAGGCTCAGGGCGGCTAACAACCAATAATAAAAACAAGTTGAATGAATACAACTTAAAAACAAGATTAAAATACAACATTAAAACATTAAAATGCAGCCTCATCACAGGGGGAGAAAGGAAAAAAGAAAGAGGGGGAGGGAATCAAACTGACTCCAAGCCAAAGGCCAGGCGGAACAATTCTGTCTTACAGGCCCTGCAGAAAGAAATCAGATCCCGCAGGGCCCTGGTCTCATGAAAAAGAGTGTTCCACCAGGTCGGAGCCAGAGTTGAAAAGGCCCTGGCTCTGGTTGAGGCTAACCTAACTTCCTTAGGGCCTGGGACCACTAGGGTGTTGCTATTTATGGACCTTGAGGCTCTCCGTGGGGCATACCAGGAGAGGCGGTCCCGTAGGTACAAGGGTCCTAGGCCGTAAAGGGCTTTAAAGGTCAAAAGCAGCACCTTAAATCTGACCCTGTACTCCACCGGGAGCTGGTGCAGCTGGAAAAGCACTGGGTGAATATGCTCCCATGGCAGAGACCCCATGAGGAGCCTCGCTGCAGCATTCTGCACCCACTGGAGTTTCTGGGACAGCTTCAAGGGCAGCCCTGTGTAGAACGAATTACAGTAGTCAAGCTTGGAGGTGACCGTCGCATGGATCACTGTGGCCAGGGCGGGGCGGGAAAGGTAAGGGACCAACTACTTGAAGCTCCCCCGCCTGCGTGCTTCATCACCTTCGTCATTCCTTCCCAATCTCCCCCTTCCTCATTGAAGGCAATGCCAGCTGCCCTCTTGAACAGACTTGAAGAGTTGGAAGGGACCCCAAGGGTCATCTAGTCCAACCCGCTGCCATGCAGGAAACTCAGCTAAAGCACCCATGACAGAGGGCCGACCAGCTCTGCTTAAAAACCTTAAGGAGAGTTCATTCCCAACCTCCCGAGGGAGACCGTCCCACTTAGCTGCGGATTTATCTGACTCTTCTTTCTGCTTGAAGATCAGAAAAATCCTTATTTGCATCAGTCACTAGCTGTAGCCAATGCTTTTTTTCTGGGGGGGGGATGCATACCCCTAAACATTCTGTGAACCAAATTTGGCCTCATTGAGTGGCAGTATTTCAATATGTGTAGAAGAATGAGAGTACCCCTAAACATTTTTTTAGGGAGGGAAAAGCACTGGCCGTAGCAATAAAATAAAACATACTGAAGATAGAGATAAAAACTTTAACTATACAAAATGCATTTTGGAGGCTTACATCAATAATCAAATCATTTTATTACGTATTACACTTATTTACCACCTTTTCTTCCAGGGAGCTCAAAGTGGTGTATTTTCCTCCCCAGTTCATCCTCATGAGCCTGTGAGGTAGGTTGGGGTGGTGACTGGCGGAAGGTCACCCCGTGAGTTTCATGGCTGAGTGGAGATTCAAACCCTGGTCTCCCAGGTCATGGTCCAACACACTAACAATTTCAATACACTGTCTCTCAAAAATGCATTCTTTGTCCCTTTGGCAAAGGCCCCGGGGTCACTGCTCATTTCTCACCTAGTGTGAGCTGTTCTTTTCTATCTTCTATCCCCCATGCCTATCCAGCTTTCTGCTGCCATAATCAATCATGACACCCCTGCTTAGATCCCTACACTGGTTATCCTCTCCCTCCTGCTTCCAGGTGCATCACAGCCACCCTAAGCCTTCTATCTATCTATCTATCTATCTATCTATCTATCTATCTATCTATCTATTGTTGTAAATAAAAATTGACCTTTTCCCTTATGGGGTATCCAAGAGCCCATATAGAGTCCTTACATAGGTTCCCTATTGGTAGGAGAGAATAACAGAGGCCAACCAGAGAATATTAAGAAGCAAAGCAGCTAGTAAGCTTGATCTTTATTGATCTGTTGCAACAGGGTGATCCCCTCACCTGCAGGAGAGAGGGACCCAGAAAAATGGCGCGCAAGGCCTTATAAAGACTTTTGAAATTGCCACCCTGTAGATCAAGACCACCCCCAGAAACATCTTACATACATCACAGAAGGGGTGTAACCTAAGACCACCCCCCAGATACATCATAACTACATCACAGAAAAGGTGGTCTAAAACAGAAATTTGAATATTGTTTTTCTCCTGTTGTTGTTTATCTCCTGTCTGGCAGGTTACTTGATTGGATTGCCTGGGGAGCCTGGCCATTCTTTTGTAGTGATAAATACTTAGTTCCTGGGACAGGTCACAGGCTCACACCCTATTCATATCTTAAATGTGTCCTTAAGACAGGATTTGTGAGGAAAGAGACAATGGGGAGGTTTCCCACTTTGACCTTGCAGAGAAAACATTTGGTCAGTTTAGGAATCAAAATGGTTCCAGGTCGGTCTTCCTGTGCTGATCTATGTACGTGCGGTTATGAACATTACCATATATATTACCTCAAAATTCCTATCACACTATCTATTTTAAAGATTTCTTGGTTTACAAAAGTATGTGCACCATCTCTTTTTTTCAAGTTACATTTTCTACAGGTCAGTTTCATTTGTTGAGACTCTTCTGAGCCCTCCCCTGGCCTTTCCCTATCTCTTCTCTCACTTTGCTTTCATGAGCTTCACTTCTCCACCTTCACTGTTGTCTACTGCCTCATGGGTGCCTGCTCTCTGGTTGTTCCTTACGGATTTCTTCTGATTTCCTCCCTATTACCTTGTATGTTTAAAACTGCTCTCCAAAATAATTGCCTTCCAAAATATATTCAGGATACCACCTCTTCCTTCAAAGCCAATCTGTTTCATGAAATCTTGGACACAATCCTATTTCCATACAAAATACTTCTGACTGAAATAAGCATTCTTTCTGTTTATTCCCATTACTGCTTGCCTCAAAGCGCCACATTTTAGACTGCAAATTCCTCAGTGCAGAGAGATATCCTTTTGTACAGTTGTTCAGCTATTAGAACACGAGTGTCTTTAATTTCAGGGTGGTGGGTTTGAGCCCCATGTTGGGCAAAAAGATTCCTGTATTGCAGTGGTCTCTTCCAATTCTACGATTCTGTGAAACACCAAGCATACTGATGGCATTGCATAAATAATAACTCTCAGTTCAAATGGGACCTATCGGTAATTGTGTTTTGCATTCTATACAAGATCTCAAAGTAGCTGTTTTACTACAAAGGAATTTCAGAAATAGACTGGAAAGAGAAGCTGCTGAATTGCAACTCATTACCAAACTTAAAACCATGGAGAGACCTGGTCTGAACAAAGACATTGGATTCTTATCTCATTATACATGACAAAGCCATTTTTCACGTTCTCACCCCTTGCTTTTTCCTGTAAGACCTATTGCAGTCGTTAAGAGTCGTCAACAGGCTCATCACAGCTATCTGCCAATCACCCATTCCCACCACCCTTCTGAGTAATACCCCTCCCCACCTTCTCACTATATAGAAGGATCTGGCAACTTCTGTTTCAGTGTATCTGAAGAAGTGTGCATGCACACGAAAGCTCATACCAAGAACTAACTTAGTTGGTCTTTAAGGTGCTACTGGAAGGAATTTTTTTGTGTTTTGCATATTAGCTTTATTATGACAGCTTTCATGGATTAGAGCCCACTCCACATTAGCAGCTAAAGCATTATTCTCACTCAGATGTTACATGCAAGTACAGAGACCAAAGGCCGTAACACACTGGTGGCATTTGTGCCCTTCGTATAGTTATCATATGTATACAATATAAGGTGTCGTATCAATAGCTGCCAAGCACAGCTAATGTGTAGGTTTAAAGATTGGTGAACATGCAAATATACCCTTAAGTCAACTGAAACTGCTGGATTATGAAATTTGACGTTTTAGCTAAACTTTAAGGATGGGATTCAGCTAAGATTTACTCAAAAAACCCACTGAAATTAAAGGATCTAACATTTATCCTCATTATTTCACTTGGTCTACTGTGAATAAAAGGTAGCTGAATACCACCCCTAGAGCAGGAGTGGCAAATCCACAACCATTTGAAGTCTGCCATTTGAAGTCTGTGTTAAAGCATAAGAACTAGAGAACACTGACACAAGTCCCAGTATGCAAATAAGCAAA